AGATAAACCTTTTAAAAATTTATAATTTTTTTTGAAAATATTATGTTAGGCCTAATCTGTGGATTTTTGGAAGTCAGTGAAAATAGTGAAATGTGTGACAGTGAATTTTGCGGATATGGACTTGAACTCTTTCTGGTACTACTGTGTTTCTGGGTTTGTTACTCAGGGCCCGTGAGGAGGAACATGTAGCAGCCGCATCAGCATTGACGGAGTGGATTCTACTGCTCTTGGCCACCCCTGGATCATGGCCCCCCTCTTCCGTCATGCTCGTTTCCCCCTCCGGTGCTGCTTGCCCAGAACCATTGAACTGAACGCCCTACCGCAAGTTACTTAGACCTAATTTATTGTTACCGCTATGGACTGAGGGATTTTAATTGTTATTTTGTTAATTTGTGCACAGATCTCTATTAATTGTTATTCCTTTTAAATTTTAAATTCTTTAGCCTAGGCTACTTGTTGATTTTTTAGATTTTATAATTTTTTTACATATTCTATTAAATTTCAATTTTGGGGCCCCTAAATTTTCTATAGTTACCATGAAATGAATTTATTAAAAGAGTCATTAGATATTTCATTGTTGTAATTTGTTAATTTAAAAGGTTAAAACTGATTAAATTTACTTTGACTGAAATTAGCCTATTTTGAATTTTTTTAAATTAATGTTTGTAAGTGAGTAGGTCAGAGTGGTATCAAAATTTTTTAAAGTTTAATTGAGAGTATTTAATTCATGTATTATTGTTAATTATTGTTGTGTTTTTCTTTTAAATGGTTAATTACAGCTCGTTTCTCTCAAATGGCGTGTTGTTCTTGAACCTCCATCCATGGTTCTCATTTGTTAAGTAAAGTTTTGTGAGCCGCTCCTCGGGCCTGCGCATGGATCACGCTTCCTTTTCGTTAGTCTGGGTGCAGGTACGAGGGCATGGTTCAACCGGTTTTGTTGAGTGCTGTACACAAGCGCATCAGGGTAATGTTTGCATGTTCCTCAACATTGTATTGACTTAAGTGCAAGTTGTATTTCTCTTTATTATTGTTTTCGAGTCCTGCAATTTCACGTGTTGTTTTGCCACCTTAGTAATAGCAGCATTAAGTTCGTCATCGACATCATCAGTGCGTAATCTTAAAATAAATGCTGCTTTGTTAGGAAAGTGATTATGTGAGCATAACCTTGTGCAGAGAGTACAACTAGAAGTGCTCTTTAAGAGCCTCAATCAAACTTGACCTGTTATATAGACATCCTCTATTACATACAGTTACAGTATACAGTGTGTGTACTTCGACAGAGTTCCACATACGTTCTATATCTGCTACAAATGCTCCTACAGTTTCGTTGAATGGGATATCTACTGATTCATCCTCTTCATTCTTCCGTTTTGTATCTTCAACATTTTTGGTACTCATACATTTATTTCGACAATCGACATGGTACATTGCGTCAACAGCGTGTAAGTCACTAACTACACCAGACAGTCAGTCGAGCTTCTGAAGCTAATGTATCGTTCCTAGCACCACATGTTTCAATAAGCCTTATATGGATTTACTATTTATTTATAATTATAAATAATTATATTTATAAATAAGAGCAGCTTATAAGTTTAGACAATTTTCTAAACTTATAAGCTGCTCTTCATCTATCAGGGTGTTTCGGGTCCTTCTTTCAATAACAGTTTTCTCCACAAAAAAGGCAGTGTTTCTGAAATTCAAAGCATTTTTGATTGGCCTCGTAGCTTTGGATGAGAGGAACTTGCTTCTGAATTACCTCCAGTTGGCAGTTTTGCTCTTTTCAAGTGTGTTTTTGAAGTGTAGGTAGATTCACAACTTCTATGACACTGTATGATAAAGTCTTGATCAGTGTTTTCGTCTTCAATTTAATACTTTCTCTATCGTCGTATTGTATACTACATTGTATAATAGTCTTTATTCGCTGGGCACCAGCAGTTAAAAGAGGTTCACAGCGTCCACTGCAGTAGAATTTCCATAAAAAAAAAAACAATTTCCTTCAATTTGGAAAAATTCAAGATTGCGGCTGTTTCTATGAAATGACTATTTATAGATACTTTTTAGTGTTCCAATTGAGCTCAGCGTACATAAAAACACATAAAATGATATACAACAACCCTATATTACAAATATAAAAATGATCCAAAAATATTTGGGAAAATTCAAGATGGCGGCGGTTTCTAAGAAATGACTCTTACTAGATACTTTTTAGTGCTCCCATTTAACTCAGCTTACATAAAAACACATAAAATGATATACAACAACCCTATATTACAGTATTTAAAAATAATACAAAAATATTTGGAAAAATGCAAGATGGCGGCCAAATCTCGAATTGCCCAAACGTGACAGAATGCATCATGCATTTTCTTGAAGCTTAACATGTCCTAGTAACTATCCAATAATAAAAAAAAAACTTAATCAAAAATGTTTGGGTTAGCCAAAAATATAGGGTTTCGCAACCGGACTATAGGGGCTGTTCCGGGAAAGGTAATACAAATGACATTAGAACAAATCTTAGGCCGCTATTAGCCGTATTGGTGGAGCAACTAATTGGCGACACTGGTGTTCCACAGCTTTTTGCAACCCGGAAAATAGTAGCGCAACCGCTCATAGCTCGCTCAACTCGCAAAATTAAGTATTGTTGATATTTGTGCGCTTGAAAACTAGTTCTAATAGCAATTTAGAAAAAGAACTTGAAGAAAAAACTATCAGTCCTGAAGGCAAAGAATACAGAAACGAATTTTAAAGAGTAACTCTGTTTTATTTAAGCCTGAAAACAAAACTGCACCTCACCAATTTAAAAACAAGATATGCAAACGCTGTGGAGATAATATCTCCTTAATAGCGCGGTCAAATCCGCTAATTGTTGCTTTGAGCCTAAAACTCAATAGTTATCACAGAGATGATTACCAAAATAAATATGTAATTACCAGGATGAGAGATATGGCTTAACATATGGCACTGATTAAAGAACGGAATTAAATATTGAACTGTTCGAACATTGCCTAACACCTCTAATGGAATATGTGAGGGAAATGTTTTCATGCAGACAGGGACAGTTAAAAAACCCTCACTGGCGCCAAAGGTGTGCCCAACCTTAAAGACACGTTGATGTCCAACGATGCTTCTCTTGTAAAAACTCAAATGTATCTAAATCCAAGGTTATTGATGACTTTTTATATTAAATGAAATCAGAAAGGAGATTTGAAATAGGTAGCAATGCAGAAAAAAGTGGAAGAAAAACTAAAGTTGTTGAGCCTGATATTTTACCTGACTCAGATGATATCATTATGGTTTTTAACCATCTATCAAATAGATGTGAAGAATCGATTGATAATTTGAGAAAACATCCCTCACAGCAGCATTGCCATAACCTTGCAAAGATATGCATTGCTCAAATCATAATTTTAAATAAAAGAATACCGGAAGAGGTAACGCGAGCCCTGCTAGATGATTACCTAAAAAAAGATTATACAGTAGTACTATCCTATACTAACTTGGTCTGCAAAAATAAGCAATTTCTTAATAACTGCTATCGTCACATGCACACAGTAATAACCTACTAGTGGTCGAAAACTCGACAGAAAATATGTAATGACCGGCATTGAATATTGGATACTGATGTAGAAATTCCATCTAGCCTACATGGACCATTTGTCGCCATATTTTTAACATGTAGTTGTGTGAACCAGACACAGTTTGCGTGTCCAACATTATATTTTCCATCTTTTTTTTGCTGCTGGCAAAGCTGATGGGTCGTAACAGTTAGTTGCTGTAGTTCTTAATAAGTCATTCTATAAGTTTGAGTTGATAAAAACATTGTGTATTCGAGAGAAATTAGTCATTTAGATCAGTTGGTGGCCCACATTGAATACGACGAATTTAATTAAAAACTGGTGACAACTTTAACATAGGGTTGGAATGTATAGTTGTAGGCAAGAGTACTGACAGGCTTCTCTATTTTCACCCCACGCTGTAGATAAAACATATGATTGTAATTCTTCCATTTGATTTTCTGTTTATTTTTCGTTGTTATTTTGTCACCAGCATGGAAACCATAAAGCCCATGTTAATTTTTTTTAATTTCAAAACAATTTTTTGTGCTTATATTTTAACCTATTTTAATTTTTAAAGAGATTCTGCGCATCTACAGGAAAATATCTTTTTAACAGTATACGTAGATTTTCCCTCCGATGCACACGAGCTGAGAAAAAATGTTTTAAAGAAACATGCTTGCCTATTAATATGTAGATCATCCGTGAAATGGAAAATGGCAGAAAATATGTTGATATTTCGAGCCCTTCATCTACCCGTTAATCTCCACAATAGAAAACTTGTTAGAAAAAAAGACTTCTAGAAAAAAGCCAGGCCACTGACGCCATTTTGGTTAGCCATTGTTCCACCTCCCGTTTTAATTCGTCTTCGTTTTCAAAGCGCTTCCCGCCTAAATGCCGCTTCAACTCCGGGAAGAGATGAAATTCACTCGGTGCCAAGTCAGGAGAGTAAGGTGGATGGCCGAAAACATCCCATCGGAAGGATTCCAGAAGGTCTTGTGTTTGTGTTCAGCATCAACCCTTTGCTCCTTATGCCTTTCTGAAAGAAGGCGTGGCACCGATCTTGCACAGACTTTTGACAAACTGAGATCGTCCGAAATGATTCTGTGAAGCGACGCACGACTAATTTCAACATTTGGAGGAAGCTGTGTAATGATTTCATCCAATGTCAAGCGCCGGTCGGTGTCAATGACCTTGCGGACATCTTCAACAACAGTCAAAGTGCGGGAAGTGGACGGGCGGCCACTTCGTTGTTCATTGTGTAACGACTTTCGTCCGTCAATAAACGATTGACGCCAGCGGGAAACCATTGGCCTAGACATCACATTTTCACCATAAACACTGCACAATTCTCGATGAATTTCACTCGCATTTTTATTATTTGCAGTCAAAAATCTAATTACTGCACGGATTTCACAATCGGCGGTGGGAGCAACTGGTGTCTCCATGATTGCCAAAGCGATACTGGAGAGTGGAGGGGCGAGTGCCGTTGCCGTAGGCGGCCGCGACGTTTACAGTGTTGCCACTACATCCAGACGAAAATTCCCCGCGATTCCCAGCTTTCTAGCGCTCGACGCTGTGATTTCAAACAATTTTTTTTTATTTTTTTTACTTACTTTTGAGACGACCCTCGTATGTAGATGCCTCCAAAATGTCATTAGATTCGTTAACGTAGAGAACGCAAATTGTGCATGGCTTTGGATCCTCATTTCAAATTTGCACTGTTCAACTACGCCTTGAAAAAGCCTTCATTATAGAGAGGAAGTTTACTAGATACTTAAACTGTAATCACTTTTGAGTTTGAAAAAATATTTTTGGACTATAAATAACTCTTTAGCAGCTGTTTGGAACTATCCAAGTTGGCCGCTTGCCTCGTGTTGTTTTAACGTGGATGGTATAAGCTCTAATGAGTAGCCTATTGATAATTTTACGTCAAGCTAAAATGTTGGATAAATTATGATAGCCTAATATTAAACATTAATCAATTAGCAAAAATGCTGACCTACCGTAAACTTACTTTGTTTTGCATATCGCAATGTACTTTTAAGTCTTAGCCCCCAAAAATTAAGATAAGCCTAACTTTTTATGTGATGGACATGTGAAATCATCTGTTCTAACATTGATTTATATTTAATTCTTTCAGACGAACCTGCTACCTCAAAATCTGATGACTTTTGGACATTTGAAAGTTTGGCGGAGACGACAGAATCAAATAACCTCGCCCAGCAAACCTGCAGAGTTACGAATTTCCATTTGTCTTTTTTGATTCACCACACAAAGTCTCCTTTAAAAGTATCACATTTAATCCCTAAATAGAATTAGTTTAACTACTAGTACTTAGGTTTGCTGCAACAGGGAGAGTAAAAAAGTGATTTTTTGTTTGTTTGTAAAATGTCAATAGTTAAGTGAGAAATAAATGCATCTTCAAAATTTTATCAAAATATGTTCATAAACAAGGAAAATACAACAGTTTACTTATTCTCCATAAGAATAACAGGGAAATTTTGAATTTACAGTTTTTTGGAATTTGCTCCGTAACCATTAGGCGCATGATAACGCTTTAATATACTTAATCATTTGTTTTTTGAAGCTCTACAAAATAGTTTTGAAATAAATTGCAAAATGTTTATTTTTTTAGGGTCAAAAGTGGGAAAACACTATTTTTACCACATAAAACCCCCTTAAGCCCATGGTGGAAGTAAATAAGGTGTGCTACTCAGCCGGACGAGTTTGAGACCGTTCTGCGCATCGCGATGTGACGTCACCTTGAGGGCAAAACCTATCCAGTAGTTTACTAATAACAAAACTAAGTAATTAATAAACAAAGTATATTCGGATAACTTTGCACTGTGGCCCTAACTAAATGGTACTAACTAATAAAATTGTTTACATTATTTTTTTTATAGCAAGAATATGTTCAGAACATTTCGATAAAAACTCCTTTCCAAAACCATTACAACAAGTACTATTGGGATATTCTCCAAAAAAACAAAGAAGGCTTACCAAGGATGCACTGCCAACTTTGAATTTGTTTAAAGAAACTAAAACTGTGTCGGTCGAAAGGAAAAAGAGACTGGAAGCAAGAGATAGTAGGAGACAAGTACAGCATATTTTAGAAGAATCCATGTCAGTAATTTGATTTAAAATCTGTTTAAATTCTGTTTAAACAGCCAAAGCGTTAAAATTTAAATGTACTAAGCTTAATTAATAAATTTAAATAAAAAAAAATTAAATTAAATTTTAATTTAATAATTTAAATGTAAATATTAATACAGTTTAAAATAGTAAATACAGTGAGAGCACGCAGCTTCGATATCGAAGTTATATATTTTTAAATGTAACCTGTTTGCGCAAAAACATTAGCATAATTAAAATAAACAAAGGAGTTCACACGCAGCACGCTGACGTTCCGACAAAAAACAATGATATAAGGATTAAACATGGTAATAACATTTGTATTTATTTCTAGACCGATAGAAGACTGTACAGATCAAGAACATATCATTTGTGATATTAACCAAGAAACTTATACATCAATAATTGATCAAAATCAAGAAAGTAAATTGTCGGGAAGTGGAAATAAGAATGCAGATGAATTGGACAGGTAAAGTCTGACGCATGATATTTTAAACTTTTGTCTACAATTTTTAATATAACTCCTTTTTTCATTACACAGTCCAACATAAACTTTACTTAAAATACAACAGAAATCAGTAAAACTAACTGTCTTGTAAACTGAACTCGTTTATTTTTAAAACATTTCAATTGGTCTTAAATCAGAATTTCAACCTTTTTTACTTTATACATTTTTACGATGTCATTTCACGTGAAATATAATAATAATAATAACATAATAATAACAACTATTTGGAAGTAATTATTTTGATATTTTATTCAGATCACAAGAAGACGAACAAGACGTAGTTGGCAAGCTCAAATCAAAAATTGAACAGCTTGAAAAGAATTTGAAAATGGTTGAGGAGGAGAGAGACTCGCTTTCTCAAAAGTTAAAAGACTCTGAAACACAAAAAGTGAGATTGCAAGAAGAACTAAAAAATGTAAAAAAAAAAACACAATCAATTTGAAATTGAAAGTAGAGTTCGATCGATTTTATCCTCACTATTTACTGAGGGTCAAATCAAATCCCTGATGTCTCGAAAAAAAAGGGTAAAGTGGAACATAGACGACTATACAGCGGCAATCTCTCTTAGAAGTGTTAGCCCTAAAGCGTATAGATACCTTAGAGAAAAAATGAATTTCCCTCTTCCAGCATTAAGCACCCTTAGAAAATGAGCATTAAAAACATTTGACTTAGAAGAGGGAGTTCTAAAAGACGTCTTAAAAATATTACAAAGCAATTCGAGGACATTAACAGAAATTGAACGTCTTACTGTATTATCTTATGACGAAATGCATTTATCAGAAGAGGTTGGATACGACAGAACGAAAGAACACATTCTAGGTCCTTGTCAAGCTGTGCAAGTTGTTTTTGCTCGCGGATTAGTTGGGAAATGGAAACAACCTATTTATTACAAGTTTGACCAACCCATGACAGCAACTATAATAAAATACATTGTACAACAGTTGGAAGTTATTGGCTATCCAGTTATAGGGATAGTAAGTGACATGGGGGGTTCAAACCAAGGTGTGTGGCGAGAGCTAAATATTAAGCCCGACACGCCCTATTTTGCAAACCCTCACGACCAAAATAGAAACGTTTATTATTTTGCCGACGTTCCCCATTTGATCAAACTTTTAAGGAACCATTTCATTGACGATGGATTGGAAGTCATTGACATGGGAGTAATTGAAAAGAAAATAATAGAAGACCTGTTGTTACTTGAAAGTAAAAGTGAATTAAAGATTGCGCATAAACTGTCACATAATCACTTGACAGTTAAAGGGTCCCAGCGCCAACGTGTGTGGCCAGCAACACAATTATTTTCAATCACCACAGCAAAAGCGATTCATTGGCTCGGTGAACGGGGTTTGTTGAAAGGTAACTGGAAAAACGCCAGCAAAATATTCAAAACAGTGAACGATTGGTTTGACACAATGAACTCGAGTAATTACTATGGCAAAAGCGAAAGCAGCAACGTATTTGGCATTAGCCTCGAACATCAAAACAAAGTCTTGGATGAAATGAACCAGTTAACAAAATCAATTTCGACAGGAAAAAAGAAGTCCAAGGCCCGTTCTTCCGATGAAAGTGCGTTGACAGGTAAACAAACTAACACTTCGAAAAAAACGAAAAAACCTGCTCTTCTGCCATTTCAAATTGGCATACTTACTTCAAATAACGCGTTGAAACTGTTATTTGGATTCGTTTCGTCTACATATGGCATTAAATATATTATGACCCAAAAACTTAATCAAGACATACTAGAGAATTTCTTCTCTTACATCCGAGGAATTGGCATCTCTAAAGATCACCCAACTGCGCTGGATTTTAAATATCGTCTGAGATGGTATATTTTAGGAAAACATTCTAGTGAAATTCTTAAAACATCTAAGGAACATAAAGATCAAGCAAGTTCAAGTAATGTGAATGTTCTAGAATGTGTTCAAAAAACCCCTAGAAAATGAAGATACAGTAAAAACAGTCAACTACAGCATCTTGACCGAATCGGAGCGATGTCTGACACAAAATCTAATGTCGAATTTAATCACCGAAGAGGAATTTGTAGATGATATTCAACCACTAGAAGAACCATTTATCGAGCAAGATAAGGAAATTCCTGAACAGGAAAACACAATTAGTAAGGAAGGTTTGCGATATTTGGCTGGCTACATCGCCTTTGTATTTAGACACAAATATCCAGAGCTTCGAGAAAACTCAGAATTTTCAGTTAGAAATGAAAACCCAACCTGGATTAATTTTATTACAAGAGGACGGTTAATGTCGCCATCACAACAACTTTTTGCTGCTATACAGAAAGCAGAAAAATGTTTTTCCGATTTTCACAGTCCCTACATTAACAATGCACCAGGTTCTGTAACTACCATTACCAATAAATTTTACTTAGTAAATGGTGACTTACAAGAGGACGTTGTCAGAAGATATCTAACGATACGAACATATATCAAAATCAAACAAATCAACAGGAGGCTAAGACAATGCAATTTTGCTAGTGGCGAAAAAAGAAAATTTCTAAAGAAACTTAAAAAAGTTTAGAAAAATCCAGAAGTGACGAAATGTTTAATTTTTTAGATGTTTACTTTCAGGTCGTAAATATTTTTATAAGATTGCTTAATGTAATAAACTATGTTTTTGGTTAAGGAAATGTTATTCATTTCTGATCCTACAAATTTTATGGCAACTGTTATCAAAGAGAGTTAATTTGTATATAAACGAATATGTTGCAACGCATTTCAATGTAAAACTTATTATATCTGTCACATGTTAATATTACATATTTAATTTAAAATGTAAAATACAAAGTATATCCTTATAACATGTACCTACAGAGTTTTGGATAATAAATGCGTGGCCTTATTATCCAATAAACGGTGGCATCGGCTGAGCGCGCGCTCCGTTGCCGCTTGATATAATTCATCGTAGCTAAAAAAGTAAATCTTTTATCGATATCCAACCGATACTACAGTTAAATTAGAACCTTTCCCTAAAACTTTCCCGCAGGTCTGATAAACCTGACCAAATAATACGTGATTTGGTAGCCGACTAACTTTTTTGTGTTAGTATGAAAAGGTTTAAAGTTTGATCGGTCATTTCATTACACTAGTATTGAATAAAGCAAAATAACAACTAATAACTGAAAAATGGTGGTGTATAGGCAAAAATAAAAACACATTTCTAACAAGTCTACACTTTTATTTAAAACAGGGCTACATGTACATGGACAATATGACTCATAGCAAAAATCTCGAAGAGTTATAAATTGTATATCAATAATTGATGTAAATGACTAAATCTAGTTCCTACCACTCCTATTAATTTTATGAAATCAGTCTTCATGTCAGTCTCATAATTTGACCAAGCTGCAAAAATAGGCTTAGGTAGGTACTAAGGTACTGTGCAAGGCACTATGCAGGAAAACATGTTTCACAGACAATATAACTCACAGCAAAAATCTCAAAGAGTTCTCAAGTGGATATCAAGATTGATTGATCAATTGCTGTAAGTTATAACATGATAGAAAACATATCTAAAGCTAAGACTAAATGAAAAAATATATTTATAAAAACAATAAAACACTAAAAAAGAATAGGTACAGTATAAACAACATGTTTTAAAAGGTAACATTAAATAATCATTACTGGTACCTCATAATTGCACATAAATGTCTCTTGTAAGAAACACTTATTTCTTTGGTAAATTTCACTTTTTGGTAAATGCTCTGAGGCAATCTGTACTGGTTGTCAAAAATAGTAAAAAAAAATAGGGATACAACTGACTCAATTAAAAGTTCAATATAAAGTAATGGAACACAAATAAACAACACAACATAGGAACATAAAATAAACATCTCCTATCCTAGCCTAATTAAAAAGATAAATAAATACGAAGGTAATAAACAAAAACAACCACAAAACACAGTGATAGAATCTATAGCATGGAAAAAAAGGATTAATACTTAATAACTACCCTAAAAATACTGAAGTAGTAAAACCGACTAGAGTAAAAATATTAAGTAACACACCGTAGGTGAAAACAACATAAAATGTTAACTAAACAAACAAACAAACACTTTGAATAAAGTGAATACATTTTGATTCCTCCTTGGAATAAATGCTACTTAGAGTAGGTAGGCTATGTCATCACTCACATCACTTTAGTTTTGCTTACTCGATGAGGTGGATGGAGTTGATGAGGTGAATGGAGTTGATGATGTAGATGGAGTACTTGTGCATGATGGAGATGGAGTACTTGTAGATGATGGAGTAGCTAACCTTTTTTCTTTAGCCTGAGAGGCTGTGGCACGGGCTACAACTTTGGTTTTGTAAGGAATGGGGTTGGCCATGAAGTAGCTTGAGTCCTTCTTTGTTCTTTTTGCTCCATATTTAACACATAAAATCGAAGACAATGTCTCCTCATCCAGTCGGTTTCTTTTATCTGTTTTTATGTTCTTCAGGCAGCTGAACAGCCTTTCTGTTACTGCGTTTGAAAAGGGCAGTGAAAAAAAATGCAAACTAACTTGGACAGTTCAAAGTACTTGGGCCTACCTAGCCCATCTACACTTGCTAAAATCTTCGCCCAGTATTTTGAGGTCTCAAGTTCCCCAACACTCATTACGCTCTGCTCCCGCCACTGGCTGTCAAGTTTTGAGAAATCAAATTGTATGCCAGGAAACTTCTTTGCAATTGGTACAAGGCTTATGGGTTGTAGGTTTTGTGCATTCGAGGGGAGTACGAACTCAGCATCCCTGTATATGCTGCTATCAGGCTCATTGAATGCAAATCTGTTTTGAATTTGAATAACAGCCTCTTTGTAGAAGTGTCTAACTGATGTTCTCAGACGGTCCAGCTCTCTTGGATCTACGTCGGTGAGTTCGCACAGTGTGTCTGTTGCCCTAACTCCCAAGTATACCTTCTCAAGCGGAACGTAATGTTCTTCTCTTTGCGGATCTAGCTTTGCAGCATCAGTCGACCTGACATACTCTGGTGCCATAAAATTAAGGCACAGGTTCTTCAGCAGCCGTTTGACCTGAAAGTTTGTAAAATGTTTGAAATAAATTTGTTTCATTCTTAATAGGATTTTAAACCCTAGCATGTGGTAGTCAAGGGTACATTGGTATCATACGGAGGCCACTATTTTTAGAGTTCCTTTTTACTGGTTGAAAAAAATAACATTATAATTGGGAAGAACATACCCAAGGTGCCTCTTATATAGTTGTAGTATCAAGAAATATTCCATGACACTCCCCACCCCAGGTAACTGAACTGAAATATTTGTGATTTATTATTTTTATGGAAGTACAGCACCAACAGGGGAGTGAGGTATTGATGCATTTCTACTTTGAATGTAGAGGAAAAAATAGACACATTTATATATGCTTAGAGTAGGCCTAGTTCATTTTTAATTTTCCTTAACCTGTTATTCAGAGAAGACAGACAAACCACTGGAGCCTAGGACCATTATTTCAAAATATATTTGACTCAGTAATTGTATTTCAATGTGCAATACCACGTGAAATTATTTAAAATGTAAAAAAGATTATCAGTCCTATATGAAGGTTTTAAAAGTATAATTCTCTAACCTGAGGTTTCAATTCTCCAAATAAGGGGGCATCTGACTGGAAGAGTGTATTGCATTCATTGAATAACCCGAGGGCATACTCCACAAATTCCATCATTGCCTTCAGCAGTGGGTTGTTGAGTGTTGCAAGAACCTGAAAAGTATCATTGTTTTTAAACCTTGGTACACATATGGTAGGCTATCTAACGGTTAATGGGAGGTCAATGAGGCCAATTTGGTAACTTATGCTTTTTCAGTACCAATACCTACCTATAGCCTACAGAGTTAAAATTTTTATTAAAATACCGGAAATAACACTCTGATTCTAAAAATGAGAATTTTTCCCATGCAAAAGTTGGAAACCCCATAAAAATGGGAAAACCCGTGAATTTATTTTTTACCAGAAAGGGTCCTAAACATAGGCTACTCAAATTAACTGGAAGAACTAGTTGTAGCTGGACAAGAATTTTCAAAATCTGACCATAGGCCTACTTAACCAAAACTGGAACTGGAATAGGCCTAACTAACCAAGAAAATATGGAAAACTGGGAATGCCTGGAAACATATTGGTTATCAAAATTGGTTAAATTATGTTACAAAAATATGTGTGCATTTTCCTAGGTGAGTTATACCATAGTCTGAAATATTTTTTGTTTAGGAAATCATAGCTTCTCAAACTTCTTAGACTATCAGCCTACATAGTAAGCTTGTGTGATTCGATTAAAAAACTATTTGATACCGTACCATAACTTGATTGGTGTATTAATAATTTAAAGATAACCATTGCACACAAATGTTTTTGTTAAAGATGCATGAGATATCTCAGAAACTCTGAAGATAAGCAAGAAAACAAATAATACAGGCTAGGCCTATACAATTTTTATAAGTAAATTGAGGACAAAAAAATACAGATAATGAAGTGTTTCTTACCTGATCATTTGCATGGGTTTTATCCTCAAAAACAACAACAGTCCAATACTGTCTTAAGGATTCCCAGCACTCCAGGATTCTTCTTACACACATTTGCAAAGAAAGCCAACGTGTCTGGCCTGGAGCTAATATTTTCTTTGGGGAAAAATCTGGTTCAAAAAACTGCTGGAATTTAATGAATTCTGCAGTACGTTTTGGACTTCGTTTCAGGTGGTTATAGATGGTCCTAACTAAGTCTTCCAGTGAGTTGGGCAGCATCTTGCAGGCATACGATGCCACCAAGTGGATTAGGTGGCAGGAACATTTTACTATTACTACTTGAGGGTGGTTTGTTTTAATTAACGTTGACACAGAGTGGTTGGGGCCCATCATAACAGATGTTGTATCAGCACAAAATCCTACCCAGTTGTTAAGTGGGATATTATTTTCGGCGAGGACATGATTTAATTTATTATATATACCCTCTGCTGTGGCATCTGTCATTTCTACGATGTCTATGACATCTACTTTTGATTCCTGCTCGATACTGTCAAAATAGGTGGTAACTACTGCGAGTTGGCTTTTAGTGCTTACATCGGTTGTCTCATCAATGAAAACTGAAAAGGGTGTAGTTGACAACTTCTCTCTTAGTTCATTATTGAAAAATGGCCTCAACCCTTGTCTTAGTACATTTGTTGCTTTTTGCTTCCCAAGCTGCAGTTTGTTGATTGTCTCTTTTTCTGGTAGAGATTTGCAAAAGTTTGCCAATGGCTCCACAAAACTTATAGGAAGATCATGCTCAACAATAAATGAGCACATTGATGCCTCTAGTTGTATAACTTTGTCAGTCTGAGACACAAACTTTGTCAAAACTGCTTGAGAGGGAGCCTTTTTAATTTGAAAATTTTTAATATGCTGTTTGGTCTCCCCATGTCTCTTTAATTCAGATTTGCCTCCCTTCAAGTTAGTGTTGCAAACAGTGCAAATGGCAGACTTACCATCTTTTCCGAGTGACAACCAGTCTTTGAATTGTTTTTCATGTAAATATGACGTTAAAAACTTTTTGTCGGAACGTTTGACTTGCTTAGGCCTCTTGGGATTTCTCTTTTCCTCTTCAGAATTATACTCATCTGAGTCTGAATGGCGACCAGTATGTTCCATTATTTACAAACACAAACACCCTGCACAACATTAATATAAACAATTATTTAAAACTTAACAAATAATAACAAAATAACTGATGCCGAAGCCGGTAACTGTAAACCAAAACAATCAAAACACTCACTCACTAACCTACGTCCAATCGAATCTGGGATTCCTCAAGGAAGTGTCCTCGGGCCGTTTTTGTATATTCTCTACACAGCAGATCTCCCAGAAAATGAGTTGGTAGAAATTGCTACATTTGCGGATGATACTGCGGTTTTGTCTGTTCATCGTGATCCATTTCAAGCTTCTCTAAATTTACAGCAAAATCTGAACATAATTACTGATTGGTTTAAGACATGGAGGTTCAAAATTAATGAAACTAAATCTGTCCACATTACTTTTACTCTAAATCAAAATTCTTGTCCTCCTGTCACAATAAACAACACCCAACTTCCCGAAGTAACTGAGGTTAAATACTTAGGTATCCATTTAGATAGGAAGTTAACTTGGAAAACACACATTTGGAGAAAACGGCAACAACTAAATTTAAAATCTAATCAGTTAAATTGGCTCATCAGAAGAAAATCAAAACTTAGTCTAGAAAATAAATTATTGCTATATAAAACTATATTGAAACCAATCTGGACATATGGAGTGCAACTATGGGGCTCAGCGAGTACTTCTAATATAGAAATTCTCCAACGATACCAATCGACGATGCTGAGGAAGATAACAAATGCACCATGGTATGTCAGCAATATAACACTACATCAAGACCTTAAGATGCCTACAGTTAAGGACGAAATCATGACCATAAGTGAACGATATATTACGAAATTGGAATCTCATGAAAATCATTTAGCTCTTAACTTATTAAACAACATGGATACA